CGTCTGGAGCACTCCTGAGACACGGACGTGTCCAAGCCCTGGAGCACTTCAGAGGTGCAGGTGCCCACTGTGCGGATGGCAAGACAAGTGTGCGGGGGGGGGGGGAGACCTGGGAGGGTCCTCCCAATGAGACCCCACACTTCCACGAGACAGGCAGGAGCGGGAAGAGGGGAGGAAGGAAAGAGGCGGGGAGGGAGAGGCCCCTGCAGAGCTGGAGCCGGTGAGGGGGAGGAAAGCCCACCAGAACCGGGACTCACACCTGGGGGCCCAATGACGGGCAGAGAGCCTGCTACCGAAGGGGCCCCCTCTTCCTAGCGCTCACCTGTGTCCGCACGTGGCCCTGCCCCCGCCCACCAGGACCCCTCCGGGCCCTGCCCTGCTGCCTCCTGACTCACCGCCTGGGCCCACTTACAGGTGAGGGCACTGGGGTCTGTTCTAAGAAGAACCAGGTTTAGGACGGGTGACGGCCCCCGCGCCCACCCTGCCGAGTCCTTCCCGACTGACCCCAAGCCCCGGAGAGCAGCCTGCCTCCCTCTGTTCCGCCTGGAGAAGCACCTGACGTGCGCCGGCGGAGCCAGCGGGGCAGTGGGCAGGCCAGGGGCTGCGAGCCCAGGACGGTTGCCCTACAAGTTTCTAGGCCCCGGGCCGGCACCGTGCCAAGCACTACGAGGATGTGGCCTCTGCCCACGGGGCTCCAGCCAGCTGGCCCGGCTCTGAGGTCTGCTCCACCTCAGCCAGGCCCAGGACACCTGCCAGGAAGGGGGAGGGGACAGGGCTGTGCCACCGCTGTCAGACTGGCTCCCAGGACAGCCGTGCCTCCCCCCTCAGGCAGTGGAAGGCACTAGTGACCCCACTTAGCAGATGAAGGGAGCCAGGCTCGCGGGCAGGGCCGAGGACAGCCGGAGGTTGCTGGGCCGGGCGTGCCTCGCCCCACTGGAACCCGGGCCCCTGGGCCTCTGCTCGCTCACCGCCCGGGCCCGTCGAGGGCCAGGTCTGTGCCTCTGCCCTCCGCCTGGGCGGGCAGGCCCGGGGCCAGGCTGTCCCCACAGAGGAGCAGAACCTTCTCTCCTTTCCCCTCATTCCAGGCTATATTTAGAGGCCAAGCGGAGAGCGAGGCACGTGGGGAGTGGGTGCCATGGGCCTGCCGGCGGAGGGGGCCACTAGCCTGGGTGCCCCCGTCCTCCCTGAGGACCGGGGGGCTGGCTGTGGGCTCGCCCCAGGCAGACCCCGGTTCGAGTCCTGGCCTGTCCCTCCCTGAGCTTTGGTTGCCCTGAGAGTGAGCACAGGAGGCGCAGAGGCCAGGACAGTTACCCGGCACGGTGAATCCGCTCAGAATCAGTGGGAGGAAGGCTCTGCTCAGAGAGGCTCATTCGCAACCCCAGAGTGGCGGGTGGTATGCGGGACCAACCTCTGCTGGCCACGGCTACTGTGCAAACACTCCCACTACACGACGGCTCTGGCCACCGCCCGCTGGGACACCTCCCACTGCCCTGACTCCCATCTTCCTGTGGGAGCATGCATAGGCCCTGGCCGGCAGGCAGGGTGGGGGCCCTGTGTGGGCACCGTGGGAGAGCGGGCAGGGGGAGGCAAGGGGGAGCCGCAGGCCTGGGTGGCAGGAGCACAGGGGTGCTGGCCATGTGTCAGGTGGAGCGGGACTCTTGGCTGAGGGTCACATCCTTGACCAGAACAGATTCGGGGGTTGGCAGGGGAAGCCACCTCAATGAGGTGTCAAGGAGTCGTGGGGAGGCCAACAGGGAAACTGAAGCCCAGAGAGTGTAAGTCCTTCCTGAGGCCGTGTGGGGGAACGGGGAGAGGGGGCTGCTCAGCCCAGAAGCTCCCAGCCCAGTTCCTCCCTGCCCCAGAGAGGGGTGGGCCGGGTGCCGTGGGGCAGGATCAGGAGACCATCAGCGGGCCACTGCCCGGGGGACCACTTCCACAGACCAAACACGGGGTCAAGAGTCCTACAGTTGAGCTCCTCATTGTTCAAAGCAGAGTGAACAGATGCTCTGGAGAGGGGTCGTTACATAAGAATGGTACATAGAGGTGAGGCAGGGGGGTGGGCTGTGCTGGGGGCAGGGGGTCTAACAGAGGCAGAGACAGAGACAGCCAGACTCAGAGAGAGAACAAGAGACGAGATGGTGCATGTAGAAAGTCAGGGATGAGGGCTCAGGCTGTGACCAGGGTCAGGGCTCAGTGTGTGACCAGGGTCGGGGCTCAGTGTGTGACCAGGATCAGGGCTCAGGGTGTGACCAGGGTCAGGAGTCAGTTTGTGACCAGGATCAGGGCTCAGAGTGTGACCAGGGTCGGGGCTCAGTGTGTGACCAGGATCAGGGCTCAGGGTGTGACCAGGGTCAGGGCTCAGTGTGTGACCAGGGTCGGGGCTCAGTGTGTGACCAGGATCAGGGCTCAGGGTGTGACCAGGGTCAGGAGTCAGTTTGTGACCAGGGTCAGGGCTCAGAGTGTGACCAGGGTTAGGGTCAGGGTGTGACCAGGATCAGGGCTCAGTGTGTGACCAGGGTCAGGGGTCAGTTTGTGACCAGGGTCAGGGCTCAGGGTGTGACCAGGGTCAGGGCTCAGAGTGTGACCAGGGTCAGGGGTCAGTTTGTGACCAGGGTCAGGGCTCAGGCTGCGACCAGGATCAGGGCTCAGTAAGTGACAGGATCAGGGTTTGGTATGTGCCCAAGAACAGAACTCAGAGTCCGATCTGGATCAGGGCTCAGTGTACAGCAGGATTGAGGTTCCTCATATTACTGGGATCAGGGCTCAGCTTTGTTTGGGATCAGGGTTCAGACTGCATGGACACCTCCATCTCTCCTCACCTGTCAGGTCCTGGGGCGTCCTGAGCACCCTGCCCACCGCCCCCCCAGGCCGAGCACCCTGGCAGCCCTGGCCTGGACCCTCGGGCATCTTGAGCCGGCCGCTGGCCAGCGTGTGAGGCAGGCCCGGGGGAGTTTCCTGGAAGGGCAGGATCCCCGGGGCCGGCGTCATCCTGGGACTGTCTCCCAGAGGAAACGTTCTGTAATGTTTATTATTTGTCTCTCCCTGTGACACTGAGTCGAACCTACTGCAGACACATTGGAAAACCAAAAAGCATGTGGAAGGAAATCCAGAACGCTGCTCGCCGTGCGTCCCTGGAGCCAGCGCCCAGCGCTCCTCCAGGCTTTGCCAAGGCTCATTTATTTTCTCGCGGTAGAGAGACAGGCTGGGAGGCATCCGTCGCCTCCACGGGGGCAATCCTGGGGCCCCCCATGGCCCGAGCCTCCGGGTTCCCAGCCTGGTGGCCTCCGGCTCCTGCTCAGTCCCTGGAAGATCTCTCCCCACCCGGACGCCCCTCGGGCCTCCCCGTCTGCCTGAGGCAGCATCCACACACACGGCCAGCGGCCCCGCGTGTTCGGGTCCACACAGAGCCCAGCCCGGCCCAGAAGGACGGGGCGGGGGGCTGAGCCCAGGGCCCCCATGGGGCAGGTGTGGCCTGGGCCCTGGGCAGCTGGGGGCCCAGAGGCAGAGCTGATGGCCTCAGCAGGTGCTGACGTCTCTGAGCCCAAGGGCAGAGGCGCCATCTGACCCCCCAGCCCGCACCTCCTCCAGGCCAGGCGGGAGCCCGAGCCTCAGGCAGCAAGGACTCCTCCGCTGCGCCTCCCCCCCAGGCTGCCCACTTGGTGCCCCCCTCACCCCCAGGAGAACTCAGGATCCCCAGTCCCGGGGCAGAGCTGCCACAGTGAGCCTGCTCCCCGAGGCCGGCGGGCAGCTGGGGGGACTGTGGGCAGTGTCCGGTCTGCTCACAGCTACGGCCCACGGCCACCGGGCCAGGGGGCTGGGGTGGGGGGTCTTCCTTTCCCCTGGCAGGTGGGGGGAGGGCACACTGCGGCCAGGATGCCCCGCTAGGCACCCTTCCTCCCTGCTTCTCAGCTCCTTTCTCCTGAAAAAGTCAGAAATGTCCTTATTTGGAGCATCAGCCTGGCCAGGGTGGGGGCGGGGGGCCTGTTAACCCTTCACTTATAAATAGAGATAAATCTCGGCAAGTTAAACACGCAGCGCAGGAACATAAACAGGGGGGCGGGCCTTGCGCCGCAGGGAGCGCAGCGTTTATTTAACTCACACCCGCCCCACTGCTGCAGGGCAGGGGCTCCGGGGCTCCGGGCTCCCAGCGGGCAGGGGGTGGGGGAGCAGGTGCTTGGACCCCGGGCCGGGCACTGACCCGCCACCAGCCTCAGAGGAGGCGAGGACAGATGGCTGGCCTGGAGGACGGGGTCTGACGCGTGGGGGTGGGGGCGGCCAGGCGGGGCCATCACGACCCAGTTGATCCCTCAGCAGCTCACACTGGGGTTTCTCCAGCGCTGCTGGGCTCGGCAGATCCTCCTGGCGGCTCCCAACCCCAGCCATACAGGTTAGGAAGGAGCCCAGAGAGGTTAAGCGACTTGCCTGAGGCTGCACAGCAAGTATGGGAGGAACCAGGACTGGAGCCTGGGTCCAAACCCCGAACAGGTGGAGTCTCCGAACAGACAATGTGTCTCTACAGCTTACCTGTGCCACCCCCTCATCCTCCCCAGCAGTCGTGGGCCGGGGCTGCACAGCAAGGGCCTTTTCCCTTTTTTAAAGATTTTATCTATTTATTCATGAGAGACACAGAGAAAGGCAGAGACAGAGGCAGAGGGAGAAGCAGGCTCCCCACGGGGGGGCCCAATGCGGGACTTGATCCCGGGACCCCGGGGTCACGCCCTGAGCCAAAGGCCCCCCAGGCGTCCCCAGCGCGGGGCTTTACTTCCTAATACACTGAGGAGTGAGGAGCACGGCTCAGGACACTCACATTCTGCTGAAGCTCCACCCCGGCAAGTGCAAGGGGGGTGGGTCCCGCGGAGGGCAGAGGGCAGAGGGCAGAGGGCAGGCATTTTAGGGCCCCAGCGGGGCAAAGGCCCAACGATGGGAATGCTGGGGACTCGGTGAGCAGGTAAGCAGGCCCAGCTCTGACATCCGGAGGTGACCCGTCTCCTTCCTTCCAGGCCCACGCCGCGTGCCGGCCACCGTCATGTCCTCTGCGTCTCCCGTGGGGTCTTGGGCCCCGGCGGCCCCCAACGCCACGGCGGTGGCCAACAGCAGCGAGCCGGAGAATCCCCTGTTCCAGCAGTTCGCCCGGCTGGACGAGGAGCTGCACGCCGCCTTCCCGGGGCTGTGGCTGGTGCTGATGGCCGTGCACGGCGTCATCTTCCTGGCGGGGCTGGTGCTCAACGGGCTGGCGCTGTACGTCTTCTGCTGCCGCACCCAGGCCAAGACGCCATCGGTCATCTACACCATCAACCTGGTTGTGACCGACCTGCTGGTGGGGCTGTCCCTGCCCACGCGCTTCGCCGTCTTCTATGGCACGCGCGGCTGCCTGCGATGCGCCTTCCCGCACGTTTTCGGCTACTTCCTCAACATGCACTGCTCCGTCCTCTTCCTCACCTGCATCTGTGTGGACCGCTACCTGGCCATCGTGCAGCCCGACGGCTCCCGCCGCTGGCGCCAGCCCGCCTGCGCCAGGGCCACGTGCGCCTTCGTGTGGCTGGCGGCGGGGGCCGTGACCCTGTCGGTGCTGGGCGTGGCGGCGGGCGGCAGGCCTTGCTGCCGCGTCCTCGCGCTCACCGTCCTGGAGTTCCTGCTGCCGCTGCTGGTCATCAGCGTGTTCACGGGCCGCATCGTGTGCGCCCTGTCGCGGCAGGGCCTGCTGCGCCAGGGCCGCCAGCGCCGCGTGCGGGCCATGCAGCTGCTGCTCACCGTGCTCGTCATCTTCCTCGTCTGCTTCACGCCCTTCCACGCCCGCCAGGTGGCCGTGGCACTGTGGCCGGATGTGCCGCACCACGCCAGCCTCGTGGCCTACCACGTGGCCGTGACCCTCAGCAGCCTCAACAGCTGCATGGACCCCATCGTCTACTGCTTTGTCACCAGCGGCTTCCAGGCCACCGTCCGCGGCCTCTTCCGCCGGCATGGAGCCGGGTACGAGCCCAATAGCAGCAACATGGTCAGCATGCACAAGAGCTCCCGGGGCTCGGGCCACAACCACATCCTCGGCGCCGGCCCCAGCGCCTTCACGCAGGACCTGGCCGACGGGCCTGGCGCTTAGTGGGCCAGTCGCCGCAAGGGGACCAGAGGCCGGGGCTGGCCAGGCCAGGGCAAGGGCAGCGGAGACATCAGTTCTGCCCAGGAGGGCGGGCGGGCCGGGTTCCCCCAGATGGATGGGTGACGGCCCCCCGGGGCACCGCAGGGAGGGTTCGAGGCCACACGGCGCGCGTGAGCAGCACCGTCTGCCGCGGGCTTCTCGTGGACGTGGCTGTCTGACGGTGGATGCCGACCATCCGGGGGCATGGTCCGTGTCCAGCCAAAACTCAGAGGGACGGCAGGGGTGCTGCTTCTCCCCTGGCCCCTCCTCACCCTGCAAGGGATTCCCCAGAAACAGGGACAGAGGTCTTTTTAGGTCCTAGGGGATCCCACAGAGGCTCCCACCCCCCCCCACTCCCCGGGCCCCCACCCCGGGCCCCAGAGAGACCCAGGACCGAAGGGGAACGTGGGGATCACACATGTCACTTGAGCAGACAGACGGGGGCGGGGGCTCCGCGCCTCTGGAAGACAGGGCTTGGGGCCCGTGATTACAAGTGAGACGGGGGTGCGTGACTGGTGCCCAGACCCGCGGCACCTCCCGCAGGGGGAGGCTGTGCTCTGACCATCCAGTGCGGGAGGGGTCGAGCAGCAGGTGCAGGTGCCGCTGCGGGGGGAGCCTGGATCGAAAACCCCCTGGAGGCAGCTCTGACCTTCCCGAAGTCCCCACCCCAGGAATGCCCGGGGACGGTGGGGCTCACGGCCCCATACTGTGGATGAGACAACCAAGTGCAAGGACCTTGGGCAACAAAGCCAGGCCTACCAGCGGCCCGCAGACAGAGCCCCTCCTCATCCTCGGGGCCAGAGCGCTCTGACCCTGCTCTTGCCTAGCTCATTCCGCTCCTGCCCTTCCTGGGGCGGGGGGGTCCTGACTTGGGTCTCTGATGGCCTCCTCTGAGCTGGACTCTGGGATGGCCTCCACATGCCTTCTGCTGAGAGCCAAGCTCCCTGAGCCCTTTGTAGACGGCCGTAGGGTCAGGGGCAGGCTGGGGGAGAGGGGCCTCGAGGCTTCCAGGCAGCAGGCCCCGTCCCTGAACAGGGTGCGATGGAATCCGGCCTCAGACCTGCCCACCCCGGCAGAGAAAAGTCCTGCAAGCCACGCTCAGTGGCTCCGGACTGAGTGCCCCGTCCTCCACGCTTGGGGCCCTGGAGGGAGGCCCTCCCGGGAGGCAGGGAGACCGTGCCCATGCTCCAGTGAGGAAGCTGAGCCCAGAGAGGAACGTCCCAGCCAGGGTCACAGCGAGCACCGGGCACTGCGGGGCCAGCGCTGTCTCTGCCACCAGCCCCACCCGGAGCCCCACGTCAGTGGCTCCTCCGACCCCAGGACATGTCGGCCCAAGGCCTCCCTGCTGGAGACCGAGGGGGTCCACGGCTCACTCACAGGGTGCTGGCGCTGCCGGGCCCCCACTGGGCTGCCCCCTGGGCCTGGAGGCCTAGCGCTCAGCATCGCCAGCATCCACGTCCCGGGCCCGGACCACGGCCAGGCTCCGTGCCGCAGCCTCTCCCCGGCCTCGCTCAGTGCAGGCCTGGGGCTCACTGGGGACCCAGAGCTGCCCGACGTGGAGGGGGCACCTGGGAGCTGCCTGGGTGCCAGGAAGCGCATGGCAACAGGGATGCCAAGCCAAGGGCCAGCGGGCACTAGGGGTGGGTTTTGGGGCCGGGAAGCTCCCACAGAGCCCCACCCGCTGTCCTGGCCCCGCATCTGGCCGCCGGGGGTCACTCGGCGCAGGAGGGAGGGCTCTCGTCCTCCACAGTCAGCCGCCCCTGGTTCTCACGCTCATCCACGCTCAGGAGTGAGTGTGTGACACCCACCGGCTGCTGTGTTTGGTGGTGGAGGGGTTGCAATTTTTCTGGAACAATCCCTTCCTCTGGAGGAGGGGTCCCTGTGGTAGGTGAGCCAGTGCAGATCTGGGTCCAGGACCGGGGTCTGTCCCTTCCTGCTTCCGGCTGTCGCCTCCATAAGCCCCAGCAGTAGGAGGGAAGAGCCGCAGGCAGCGCTGGGGTCCACGCCCAGGATGGCACCCTCGGCCCCGGCCCTCGGCCCTGAGCCGGAAATCCCAACATCCAAGCTGGGCGTCTCAGGGCCCCCCGGGTGCAGGGGGAGGCTCCCACCACCCGAGCTGGAGACGGAGCCCACCTGTCCCCTGAGCTGGGCGGGAACTGGGGGCAGACCTCGCTCCTCTGAAATCGCCCCCCCCCCACAGAGCTCTCTCCAGGTGGCCTCAGCTGCTCCCTCCTCTCCTTGGCATCGCAGCTGGAGGTTAGGGGGCGGGGGGGGGACACCCCACAGCCCCCTCGGAGGCCTGCTCCCACCTCTTGAGGTCTGGCTCCCTCCTACCCTGGCCTCGTGGGGACCGCAGGGCTCCCTGAAGCTGACCCCGCCTGGCCTTGCTCCCATTGGGGCCAGGACGGAGGTCTCTGCACCCCCTCCCCGTGGCCTCTCTTCCCCGATTTTTCGAAAAGCCCAAGTGACATGACAGAGCGAGTGTATTTATATCTGATGTAAACAATCTCCTTAGCGAGAAGTCCTCATCCTGAATTAAACCTGTTTATTCCCTCCGTGCCCTCAATTCCGGGAGCCCAGGGCAGCAGGGGTGGCCGTGGGGCACTGAGCCGGCCAGGAGCCCACGCAGTCCTCCAGCCCTGTCACCGTCCCGTGGGCAGCCCGGCTGTGTGGTTTCAGCAGCCCCACCCGACCTGGGCTTAGGGGATGGAGCCCTGCCCCCCAAGGAGGGCGGGGGGGGGGGCGGTGAGGAGCAGGGGCGGCAGAGCTGTGGGCAGGGTGTGGGTGCAGCACCGGGGTCGGGGCACGGAGAGCAGGACGGGTCATCGCCCCATCTCTGTCCCAGCCCTGCCCGCCCGGGGAGAGGACGTGGGTGACATGGGTCAGCTGGTGGGGGTGGGGGGGCAGCACTACCCCTGGGCCTGCAGAGTGCAACCCCGGTGTCCTGTTCTCTGAACCTGCCCAGACCCCGGGGAGGTGGGCATCGTCCTCTCCGTTTCCAGGTGGGGAAGGGGGGCTCTGGGGATGCAGGATGGCCCAAGCCCTGGGGCGCGGGTCCTGGTCCTCCAGCCTCTGCCCCAGCCCTGGGGGGAAGGGGTGTGCCTGGAGGCGGCTCATCACTCTGCTGTCTGGCGCCCTCTGAGGCCGGAGGCAGCCGGAGGTAAATATTAGGGCCTGTTTAGATTAAACTCCATTAATAGCAGAAAATGTCACGGCGGCGCCCGTCCCAGCTTCCTGGGGGCCTCTGGTGCCTGGGGCAGGCGTGGAGGGCCCTGTGGGAGACGGATGTCCCCCCTGATGCCCTGGATCCGACTCCACACCCCCCCCCCGTTCCCTCTCCCTCAGGAGGCTCTGTGTCCCCCCACCCAGCCCGCCAGGAGCCCAGGAGGCAGGTGCCAAGGAGGTGAGGACACTCCACCGGCCAGGGGTGCCCCCACACAGTTCACAGAGGAGCGCACCGAGGCCCAGAGGTGTGAGGGGACCCCCGCAAGGCTGCCCAATGCCACCCAGGAGGAGCATCGTCCAGCCAGACCTCCTGGTCCCAAGGCCAAGGCCACCTCCACCCCGACCAAGGCAGGAGCCAGGGAGGCTGGGAGGGAGGGGGCGGCCCAGGGAGAGGGGAACGGATCCCCCAGCCTCGACCCCTGCTGCTCCCTGGCTGTGTCATTCCCCTGCCCCCATTTCCACATGACCCCTGCCCCGTGGAGCACCCCCACCTCCCCTGCCCTGGAGCCCCTCTCCTACCCTCCACACCCCCTCCACACGCCTTCCCTTCCCAATCTCTGCCCTGTACCTGCCCCAACTGTCCACCGCTCGGGTCCTCTCCCTCCCTCTGGGCCCAGGGCCCGCCTGCCGGAGTCCTTCCCACCCAGGACCAGCCCCCACCTGACCACTGGGCTTGGTCCCTTGCTGAGCCCTCGGGGACCCTGCAGGAGAACCCCCAGGAGTCCGAAGCCCGGTGGCACAGCTGGGGTGCTCAGGGTCCCGTGCTACGCCAAACAGGACCAGCCAGGCAAGGGCATCGGGGGGCTTCCTGGAACGGGAGGCTGGAGGCCCTTCCCTCCGGGTCCTCACCGCGCCCACCTGGCTCACCGCCCCCTCCCCGCTGGGCCTCTCCCCAAGGCTTCAAACATCGAGGGGGGCCCCGGAGCCTGGGCAGGCTGGCAGGGCCAGGACGCTCCACCCCCGTATTGCAGATGAAGAACGGGAGGCCCGGTGGGTGAGGGGCCCCGGGGGCCACGCATATTCCCCAAAGCCACTAGCTCTGGGCCCCCTCCGAGCCTCAGCCCCCCCGTCTATGAGCAGGAGCTCACAGCCTGGTCCTGCTCCCCAGGACTGACACAGCCCCAGTCCCCTGCAAAGGCGATGGAGGGGGGACAGCGGAACCTGGCAAGCGGAGTCCCTGCAAGGGGCCCTGAGACCTCGGCTGCATCCTGCCCCTCCAGGCCTGGTGCTTCAGCTGTAACCCCGAGTTCAGACCCAGTGTCTTGCCAGCGCGAGGCTAGATCCTGGGGTTCAGCTGACAGAAAGGACTTAAATGGGAGAAGCAGTGTCTGTTTATAAACTGGCCTGAGCCTCTGCTCCCTCCCCCTCCCGCTGCCCCTCAGCTCCCACTGCTTTAGCTGGGGGAGGGGTGCCTGGGCAGGGAGGGGCACTCACAAGGCAGGGTGCCCCCAGGCACACCCCAGGCCGGGCAGGCCTTCCCAGGGTGCTGTGCACCAGAGTGGGGGCTCCGGACGGGGTCCCACAGGAAGAGGGGTGGGGCGTGAGCGTGATGGGAGGATTGGGCCAGGTGCACGGTCACCTGCCCTGCACTGACCCAGGCATCGGTACGTCCCCAGGGTGTCACAGGGTGCCCCAGACCCTCACATCCAGGGACTACGGGAGCCGAAGGGCATCTGGCCCCTGCGTGCCCCAACTGTCCAGACGGCACCAGGGGCCTTTGGGACCTGCTTCATGGAGAGTCCTGGGGCGCAGGA